GTGGGGAGTTTGTGTGGGAAGGGGGCAGTGTGTCTGTGGTGGGAGTGTATGTGTGTGTGGGGAGTGTGTGAAGGGTGTGTGTGTGTAATAACAGTAATGAATATTTGACCATATGACATTCACTAAAATTTTAACCGGTCCTGGGTCTCCCCTAGGTCGACCCAGCCTCAAACGAGTATCTAATACACTACTTGAACGTAATCTTGTCTCTGCTCTGAACGAGGACGATCACCCGAAACGTCGACTCAATTACGTTACCGTTTTAGAGGGGGGGGCAGTGTTATTGGCGAACATGTGAACTCTAAAAGGAGCTCGCGTGGGGAATCTCTCTCGGTGCTTCCTCGTCTGTCTCGTGAATCCGGGTGAGGGTGAGATGTGACGGCGAGCAGCGAGGGCTGGGGGTGCCGGGTCATCCCTCCCCAGGTCTCCCCTTCGCACAGACAACCCCCCCCCCCCCCAACGTCTTATCTGTCAATGTATTGCCTCTGCTCTACCCCTCCCTCGCTCCCTCACTTTCTCTCCCTTCTCTCCCGCTCTCTCCCTTCTCCATCTCTCCCCCGTCTGTCTCTCTCCTCTCACCGCTAATTCACTCGGCTCTGGCGGCGAGCACGGATTGACACGTGGATCGATGACGCGCCGCCAAATAATTTACCCGTCCTGGGCGGCCCCTTCCCTGCCTCTCCAATGTCGCTTCTGGCTTCTGTTGTTCATATTTAGTTACGTGGGGTGGAGCGGCGGAGCAGTGGTCGGCGCAACTGAGCCCTAGACTTTGGCCACCCGAGTTCTATTCCAGGCCGCTGCGAACGCCAGTGTGTGGCGAGTGACATCCTTCTTAACGCGTCTCTTCTTCCTTCGGCAACCCGCTCTCGCCAGCCTGGTGCAGTGTGGTCAAAACACCCCCCACACGATCGACGGGGTGTTGGGAGGCATGCATCCAGTTGTGGATTAGCAAAGGGGTTGTCAATGATTGTTTTACAAGGGATGATGTCACTTCGACATGGACGATGAATTATAATATTTTTTTTAAAAAAATTACGTTTCTTGGTCTAGCTCTGCAGCCGACCTTGGAATTTTATATCGCATTGCAGACGTTATAAAGTGCCTTTGTCTGGCTCTGTGAGCTTCATAAATTAACATTTTTAACCGTAGAGGACACCTGAGTGGGTTCCTTAATCTGGCTCGGCGAAGACTTGGGGAAAATCCATATTGAATTGCAGGACTCTCATAAAGTTGCATTAGTCCGCACGGCTCTCTCTTTCTCTGTGAGCGTTTCCATTAACAATGAATAAGCAGACGACTCCTAAAGTGCATCGGATGGGGTGACTCTTTGATGCTGGGAAGTTGACATTTAGCCCTTAACCGCATTAAAGGTTATCTCGCAAATAACGACGAACCCACCAGAATCCGACACGTGCAGTTGGTGTGGCCCTCTGAGCTCCCTGGAATTAACTGCAAAACAAATCCCCTCCCCGTTATCCTCTGCATGAAGGCGCTCAGCCTACGGGGTTAAAAGGGTGACCCTGTCGAAGAGGAAGTAGAGAAAGCGGGTGGGTGATCTGTATGAAGCGGGCGATTTATTGTTTTCGCGGAAACCATTGCGGAGTCTCAAGACGTCTCGAGACTCCGCGAGGTTTTCGCGGACACACACGCAGAGAGCCGGCTATATCGCACGGCGTGTTCATTATTCGCATCATCGTGGTCACAATTCAGTTGTACTACGCTCGCACAGCATAGGCACGCTCCGACAATTAGTGCCTAGAGTGCGTCGGCGGAGCGAGCTTAGCGAGCGACATCTAAACAGACTGGGGCGTTCTGCCGGTAAATAAACGACATTGGGGACACTTATTTATTTAATGTAATCGGCATATGCGCTACAAAACACGTGGTGCGCGTGTTTCCCTTTGTGGTGGGGTCGGCGGGGGGTGGGGTACAATACATCTGTACAAACACGGAGCGAGCCGCCGACGGTCCTGTATTCATCATCCCCGGTAATGAGCTCCACAAAGCTGGTTGCGATTTCGCTCCGGAGGCAGTCGAGGGGGATGGGCGGCGGTGGTGGTGGTTGTTGTTGTGTGGCGGTGGTGGTGGTAGGTCGACTGAGCCTTCGTTAAATGAGTACTTGGTGCGCTGTGTCAACATCGGAACTGGAGGCCGGGCGTGGTGCTGGCCACCCACCGCTCCGTGCCGGCCTTCGTAGGCGCTGCGCGCTAACAGCACTTGCCCCCAGCAGTTTGTTAAAGGCTGCACGGGGGATCTTTGTCTCTGGTGGTCATAAGTATTGCATGTAGTGGTGGTGGTCAAGGCCAGATGAAGATTGTGTAGGCCCCTAGGCTACAGGTACTGTGAGGCCCCTGGGCTACAGGTACTGTGAGGCCCCTGGGCTACAGGTACTGTGAGGCCCCTGGGCTACAGGTACTGTGAGGCCCCTGGGCTACAGGTACTGTGAGGCCCCTGGGCTACAGGTACTGTGAGGCCCCTGGGTTACAGGTACTGTGAGGCCCCTGGGCTACAGGTACTGTGAGGCCCCTGGGCTACAGCTACTGTGACGGCCCTGGGCTACAGGTACTGTGAGGCCCCTGGGCTACAGCTACTGTGAGGGCCCTGGGCTACAGCTACTGTGAGGGCCCTGGGCTACAGGTACTGTGAGGCCCCTGGGCTACAGGTACTGTGAGGCCCCTGGGCTACAGGTACTGTGAGGCCCCTGGGCTACAGGTACTGTGAGGCCCCTGGGCTACAGGTACTGTGAGGCCCCTGGGCTACAGCTACTGTGACGGCCCTGGGCTACAGGTACTGTGAGGCCCCTGGGCTACAGCTACTGTGACGGCCCTGGGCTACAGGTACTGTGAGGCCCCTGGGCTACAGGTACTGTGAGGCCCCTGGGCTACAGCTACTGTGAGGGCCCTGGGCTACAGGTTCTGTGAGGCCCCTGGGCTACAGGTACTGTGAGGCCCCTGGGCTACAGGTACTGTGAGGCCCCTGGGCTACAGGTACTGTGAGGCCCCTGGGCTACAGGTACTGTGAGGCCCCTGGGCTACAGGTACTGTGAGGCCCCTGGGCTACAGCTACTGTGAGGGCCCTGGGCTACAGGTACTGTGAGGCCCCTGGGCTACAGGTACTGTGAGGCCCCTGGGCTACAGGAACTGTGAGGCCCCTGGGCTACAGGTACTGTGAGGCCCCTGGGCTACAGGAACTGTGAGGCCCCTGGGCTACAGGTACTGTGAAGCCCCTGGGCTACAGGTACTGTGAGGCCCCTGGGCTACAGGTACTGTGAGGCCCCTGGGCTACAGGTACTGTGAGGCCCCTGGGCTACAGGTACTGTGAGGCCCCTGGGCCAGAGCTACTGTGAGGCCCCTGGGCTACAGGAACTGTCAGGCCCCTGGGCTACAGGAACTGTGAGGCCCCCCCCCCCCCACAGTAATATTTTCAAAAGGAAAACATAGTTAAAGAAAAATAAAATGTATTTTTACGAGGCTAACAACAAATACAATTTAGCATTCACAAGTGAAATAACTTTTAACTTAACCTCTGGAGGCCCTCCAGCTGACGGAGGCCCCTGGCCTGCAGCCCCTAAAGCCCCGTGCCTGAATCCGGCTCTGGTGGTAGTTACAGTAGTGGTGGTGGTGGTAGTTATGGTGGTGGTGGTAGATGTAGTGGTGAGGTGGGGAGCGGTGGTGTGGCGATTAGCGCAATGCGCTGCAAACCCGGCGACCCGAGTTCGATCCCCGCTCACGGCCACCAACAATGGTGACGATTATCTGATCCGGTCCTGGACCTCCCCTAGGTCGACTCAGCCTAAAATGAGTACCTGGTGTGGTATGTAAACATCGCTGCTGGGAAGACAAAGGCGGCCCGGCGTGGTGCTGGCCACCCAATCCCCTCGTGTGTCGTGCCGGCTTTCATAGGTGATACTCGTGAACAGCACTTGTCCCTACAGTATGTTAAGGCTACACGGGGGATCTTTGTCTTTGTTGCAAGTGGTGAGCGACGCTCACAACAACGAGCAGACCGCCGTGCAGATAAAACATCATCATCAAGGCGGCAGCTGCGGTGGCTGTGCTCATTGTTTGTGATAGTAGCAGTGGCGGTGGCGGTCGTGTTGCTGGTTGTTGTTGGTGGTGGTGGAGGCGCTGCTGAGTGGCGTGAGACGGAACGGGGCTTGGCAGCTGCCTCCGCCTGGGGCGAGACTCGATCAGCCGCTCTCCCTCCCCAGCTCTCCCCCTCGCCTCCCTCCCCAGCTCACCCCCTCCTCTGCCACCACCACCACACCACGCTCCTCCACACTGGCCCAGCGCCAGTCACAGAGTTCGCCTTCTCATCGACCACGGTGCCTCCGCGACTTCTCCTCTGTCTCTCTCTGTCTCTCTCCCTTTGTCATCCTCTGTCTCTCTCTCCCTCTGTCTCCCTCTGTCTCTCTCTCCCTCTGTCTCTGTCTCTCTCTCCCTCTGTCTCCCTCTGTCTCTATCTCCCTCTGTCTCTTTCCCTTTGTCATCCTCTGTCTCTCTCTGTCTCTCTCCCTTTGTCATCCTCCGTCTCTCTCTGTCTCTCTCCCTTTGTCTTCATCTGTCTCTCTCTCCCTCTGTCTCTCTCTCTCCCTCTGTCTCCCTCTGTCTCTCTCTCCCTCTGTCTCTTTCCCTTTGTCTTCCTCTGTCTCTCTCCCTTTGTCTTCCTCTGTCTCTCTCCCTTTGTCTTCCTCTGTCTCTCTCTCCCTCTGTCTCTGTCTCTCTCTCTGTCTCTCTCTGTCTCCCTCTGTCTGTCTCTCCCTCTGTCTCCCTCTGTCTCTCTCGGTCTCCCTTTCTCTGCAGAAGCCGGCGGTGGTAAGTGGTGGTGGTGGTTGTGGCGGTGGTGGTATAGGTGGCGGCGGTGGTATCGGTGGTGGTGGTGGCTACGCTGCTGCACGTGACTGCTGCCCGAAATCCGTCCACTGTTGGTTTATAAGGAGACAGCAGCGAGGGGTTAGTGGATCACCGCTCACGCCAATGCTGTGACACTCCAAAACCTACCTGTGGGTGGGCTTGCCAGAAGACGGCAGTACAGCGAGTGGACGAATATCCATCTGTTTCCATCTGTACGGCGGGTTAAGAGCGTTGCCCCCCCCCCCGCGGGCGCGTGGGTTTTCCCCCGGTGCTCCGGTCTGCTCCCACGTGCGTCATAAACAACACTTCTCATTAATTGACTGATAACATCTTTAAAGACAACATTTGCGGCAGCACTCTCCTGAAAACGAGTTTTACCGCTCAGTATGGATCTCATGGATACATAAATAACTGCAGTATAATAATTAATCTAATTACGTCTCTCCATGTGTCGCTTTCTCATTGCTCTCCGCGCCTTTCTTTACCCAACACACGCACACGACTCAAACACTCCATCTTACACCACCGCCAACACACACACACTCAAACACCCCACGTAACAACAACCGCCATTCGCCACTAAGTGCCGGTGACGTCACCACGACACTTGTGCCAGGCCATGTGCACGTTGAGGCCACGTGAAGTTTCGAACGCCCGCTGGCAGGAGGTCAGGGGGCAGACCCAGGTGCCACGGGTCGACTGACTGAGACGACTGGCCGATGCATCACCTGTGCCCCCTACTGTGCCAACCTGCTGTGCTTTAGCCACCCGGCGCTCCGCTCGTTGTTGTGAGCGTCGCTCCTCCCCCCCCCCCCCTCCGTTGTTGTTGGAGGGCGACTTCCTCCAATTGGCCAGTAGCGTCCTTCACGAGCCTCCTCCACAGAGGCCGATCTTGACACCGCTGGTACCGGTCATCGGCAAGTCCACTCAGCTCCACGTCCTCCTGTACCACATCACTCCATCTCCTCTCTAGCCCGTGCCGCGCCCGTGTAGCCCCCTCGATCCGGCCGAACAAAAGCTGTTTCGGCATGCGGTGACTGGGCATGCGGGCTACATGACCCAGCCAACGCAGCCTTGCCTGCCGGAGGAGCTCACCCACATAACACCACCACCAACACACACACGCACGACACAAACACTCCACCTTACACCACCAATACACGCACACGACTCAAACACTCCACCTTACACCACCAACAACACACACACAAACCCCTACCCACCAACGCCGTGTGTGCGCGTGTTATCGTGTCTTTGTGTGTGTGGTCGACTCAGCCTCAAGTGAGTACCTGGCGAGCTGTGAAATTGTCGCCGCTACGGAGACAAAGGCGACGCAAAGGCGGCCGGGGCGTGGTGCTGGCCGCCCACCCCTACCTGTGCCTTCGTTGCCGGCTATCAGCACTTGACCCACCAGTCCTTGAAAGGCTATACGGGTGGTCTTTGTCTTTGTTTTTTTTTGTCGCGTGGCTTCCTGCGCGCGCGCGCACGCTTAATCTCGTGTAGAGGCAGAGATCGTTCTCTCCCCCACATCTCTCCCCCTTCCCATCTCTCTCTCCCCCACCCCGTCTCTCTCTCCTCTCTCTGTTTTTTTACGATCAGAGGAGACAAGAAGATGCTCGGTTTAGTCGACACTTTGCTTCATTCATCATTTCGGGTTTTTTTTCCATTGCTTTGCTTTACGTACCCCCCCCCCCTTTTTAAATGAAATATTTTACGTGTTTTACCATTGTGCAACAGAATCAATCTGTGCTACTTTCTTCATAGACACAAAGATCAGCACGAAGAAGACCGCTCTGCTCCTCCTCCTTACCCCTTCCCTATCTCTCTACCCCCTCTCTCTACCCCCTCGCCCTACTCTCTCTCTCTATGATCCCCCTGTTTTCTATCTAAAACTACGACAAGTGCTGCATCTGCACGCAGCCCTCCTCGCAGTCCTACGGCCTCCGACGGGTAGCTCACAATCTGCATGCAGAGCTCTCTACCGTCTTCTGCCACCGAGCACACGGCCTCCTCCAGCGCCCTCTGCTCCTTGAAGGTCGGCACGGCGTGGGTCAGCCGCCCATGGCGGAACTCCAGCCACACCCTGGCTCCGACCAGAGCGCGGAAGATGCCCAGGCTGCTGACCGGACGTTTCCCCTCCACAACCACCTTCCTCGCCCTGTGTATACGGCGAGCTTGGCGTGGCTTACAATCACGTCGACCAGCCCCTGAAGATGTTGGGATCCATCCCCCTTCGGGTGTCCAAAGATGAGGACCGTCGAGAAGAAATGGAGGCTGAACCTTAGGAGGATGTTTCTTAGGACCTTGAACAGCGAGTCTCCCTCTGGGGCGTCAGCGATGGTGGATGAACAGGCTGTGGTGTCGGCTGAGCAAGCGACTGAGTCGCAGCCCCAGGGACCTGAAAATCCACATGCAGAGTTCGAACTTGCAGACAGTATCCATAAAATCATGGGGAGCCAGAGGGTTGGCGGGGACCGTTCCAAGCAGGAGGTGGACCTGCAGGCGCTGCCTACGCGTGCATAATCTTGACCAAACCGTGGTGCCTATCCTCCTCCAGGGGCTGTCTGTGCTTGCCAAGGACAGACCACCAAAGCCTAGAATATTTAATGAAAAACAAGGCCCCAGAACGAAGACAAGAACTAAACCTCGGAAGAATGTGCTGGAGAGATAGAAGCATTAAATTTGCGAATGCGTGCTCTGAGTAAGGTTATATAGACGCGTTTGTTTTTTGGAGAACCATGGTTTTTCTATTTAGAATTTTTTTCCATCAGTTGTATTGAATTATGACTATTGGCTGTTTCGACGCAGTTGACTTGCATTTTGAATAAAGTGAATCACAATGGTTTGGCATTGTATTGTTTAAGCTGCCCCTCTCTCTCCCTTGCTCTGGCAGTACATATACTAAAATTGGAACGATACAGAGAAGATTAGCATGGCTCCTGCGCAAGGATGACACCCAAATTCGTGAAGCGTTCTCCCTCTCTCTCTCCCTCTCTTTTTCCCTCTCGCCGTCGCTGAACATTCACGTCCGATACTCACGGCCATTTTTCCGCGCCTCTGGTAGGTAGGCAATGGTCGCTTAGAAGTGCCAGGAGAGATGCGACGAATGGCGATGCTTTCTCAGAGGCGAGATGCCCGGGTGTGCGCGAGTGAGTGAGAGACACAGAGATGAACAGAGAAGGAGAGGGGAGCGCTGGAATTTCTGAAATGCTAGTCTCTTGATGGCTTTTTCTCAGAATTCACTCCGGTAGTGCCCCTCTCTGTCTCTCTCTCTGCCCATTAGTCCAGGGCACTTTTTTTGTTCAGCTCGCGAGGAGTTGTGCAGCGGAGGGGGAGGAACGAGAAGGGGGATCGGCTGTAATCACGCGTGACCTGGGTCCATTGTTCTCGCAGTGACCTCATGACCTTGCTCAACAATACGAGCCAGCCATCTCACACACACAAGCGAGGAGCCATCACACAATCAAGCCAGCCATCACCCACAAACATACAGACATCACACACACAGACAATCTAGCCATCACACACACACACACAGACGATCCAGCCATCCCACACGTACATAACATATTGCTGTCACACACAGAAAATCCGCCCATCACACACACAGACGATCCAGCCATCACACACACACAGACAACCTAGCTATCACACACACACGCACAGAAAATCTACCCATCACACACACACAAACGACACAGCCATCACACACACAGACGACACAGCCATCACACACACACACAGACGACTCAGCCATCACACACACACACAGACAACCTAGCTATCACACACACACGCACAGAAAATCTACCCATCACACACACACAGACGACCCAGCCATCACACACACAGACGACTCAGCCATCACACACAGACAATCTAGCCATCACACACACAGACGATCCAGCCATCCCACACGTACATAACATATTGCTACCACACACAGAAAATCCACCCATCACACACACAGACGACCCAGCCATCACACACACACATAGACAACCTAGCTATCACACACACACACGCACAGCCATCACACACACACACAGCCATCACACACACACACAGCCATCACACACACACAGACGACCCAGCCATCACACACACAAAGACGACCCAGCCATCTCACACACACAGACAACCTAGCTATCACACACACACGCACAGAAAATCTACCCATCACACACACACAAACGACACAGCCATCACACACACAGACGACTCAGCCATCACACACACAGACGACCCAGCCATCACACACACACACAAACGACACAGCCATCACACACACACACACAGACGACTCAGCCATCACACACACACAGACGACACATCCATCACACACACACACAGACGACTCAGCCATCACACACACAGACGACCCAGCCATCACACACACACACAAACGACCCAGCCATCACACACACAGACGACCCAGCCATCACACAGACACACAGACGACCCAGCCATCACACAGACACACACACAGACACACACACAGACACACAACAACAACAACAACCGCCATTCGCCACTAAGTGGCGGTGACGTCACCACGACGCTTGTGCCAGGCCATGTGCACCTTGAAGCCACGTGAAGTGTCGAACGCCCGCTGGCAGGTCACGGGGCACACCCAAGTGCCACGGGTCGACTGACTGAGATGACTGAGATGACTGTGGCTGATGTACCACCTGTGCCCCCTACTGTGCCAAACTGCTGTGCTTTAGCCACCCGGCGCTCCGCTCGTTGTTGTGAGCGTCGCTCCTCCGCCCTCCGTTGTTGTTGGAGGGCGACTACCTCCAACTGCCCAGTAGCGTCCTTCACGAGCCTTCTCCACAGAGGCCGATCTTGACACCGCTGGTACCAGTCATCGGCAAGTCCACTCAGCTACACATCCTCCTGGACCACATCACTCCATCTCTTCTCTAGCTCGTGCCGCGCCCGTTTAGCCCCCTCGATCCGGCCGAACAAAAGCTGTTTCGGCATGCGGTGGCTGGGCATGCGGGCTACATGACCCAGCCAACGCAGCCTTGCCTGCCGGAGGAGCTCACCGATCGGACCTTGCCCAGATCTTTCAAGGATTTGTGAGCTCCTCACACAATCCAGCCTGGTTAAACCCATGATTGATCGTAGGCAGGCTAGCCTAAATGTTTCTAACCGGCGAAGATGTTCCATTAGGGGGGTCCACTTTTCGCAAGCGCAGAGAAGGGAGGGAATGACCGTGGCCGAGAAGACCTGAAGCTTAGTGCTGAGCGACAGACCAGGTAGCTTCCACACAGCGTTACGCAACCGCTTGACTGATTCGGAGTGAGACCTCTCCTGTTAAACTGGAGCCGGTCATAAGCACACTGCCCAGGTATGGGAAACTCTCCACTCTCTCCACAACTGCCCCATCACCGATTGAGAGTTGTGGGGGTGGAGTGTCCGGTGGTACAAAATACCCAGGCAGGTGCTTAGTTTTGGTGGGGCTGATGGTAAGGCCCTACCTCTTTGTGGCACGCTCCGGTCTCAGCAGCAGCGTCTCCAACTCCTCCTCTGAATGAGCAGCTATTACCAGATCATCGACATACATAACGTGGTTGAGCAAT